TCAAGCTGTGACCCCACAAATCCAGCACCATTTCTCCTGAATTCCAAGGGTCTGTGTTCCGAAGCTGCAGCATCTGGACAGGGCCAGTGGGAAGAACTAGGTAAATGAGTTGGCTGCATGGCAGCTAGGTCAGAACCTACCCATTGGTCTCACTCCTTCCAGTCCTGTTTCCAGAGTGGGAGCCCACTCCAGTCTTCCCCTTATGCTGGGAGAGATTTTCTCTAGTGACCCCACTCATGTCTGATATCTCCTCCATCTCTCTCCCCACCCCACTCACCCAGCTTAATTTGCTGGATGTGATATCTCGCCATGGGCTGTAGATAACCTGGCCTGTCCACTTCCTAGCCTGTGTAGGCTGGTCATCACCACTTCTCTGGTTCCTGTTTGCTTCCTCCTGTCCTTCCCTAGGGCCCAGCCAAGACCACACAGCACACCCCAACCCCTCCCAGGGAGTTCACACTGGCAGGAGAAGCAATTAACACCAATAATTCTACAAGGTGGAAATTCTTATAATTACAACTTCTTTTGCAAGATCTCAGGAGTCTACATAACCCTCAGGGAAGAAGGGCACTAGCATTTCAGTGGAAATACAATCAGTAGAAATAGATGAACTCGGTAATGTAGGCCTAAAATTTTACTCTAGGGTCCACTTATCAGATATAAATATTTCTGTTGATTAAAGCAACACGACAAGCTTGCTTTCTTCATAAAGAGCTCTTTGCACATTCAGAATGTCTGTAAAAGCAGCAACAGTTACAAACAACCTTGTAACAGAAAGTTGGTTCTAACATAATCACTTTCCTAACCTTTGTAAAGACAGGTCTTAATAGAGACAGCAGTTGTCCATTAAAGGAAGAAACAATGAGTGTGACCATACGAAGCGCAACACAAGTGCAAAATGCTAAATTAAAAGCAACTGAAGAACATTAAGCAATGGATAATAGTCACTTATTAACGTTAAATATTAAAAGACAAAAATCGAAATATAATTATCATATTGAAGAGTTTCGACATGACATCATTTTAAACCCAGATAATGAGCCAATTGTCAAATCCAACATTATCTCCATCCCTGTCTGAAAAACAGTGTTGGCATTAGATAACATTTAGGCTTCTGACATAACAATATACTGAACTTTACCCACCCAGAAAAAGGACAAGCATGTTTTATAAATGTGACAGGCCTGTCCATTCTGATAAATGCAGGCTGATAAATTATCCACACGAAAGCAAGTGTATCAGCTTATTCCACAGAAAATGGCTCAAACAGTTTAGTTTTATTGTAGTTTGTAAAGAAGCCATACTACCCCCCTCAAAAGAATTTTTTATTTTTTATTTTGTGGGGAGGGCTCCTTTGAAATCATGAAGGAGAAAAAAGTCTAAATGTTGACTAGGATCAATGCCAATAAATAACTCATGTATTTAGAGTCTCTCTCTCTCTGTCTCTGTCTCTGTCTCTCTCTCTCTCTCTCTCTCTCTCTCTCACCCCATTACTCCAAAGCATTCAAAGCACATGTGTACCAACATTTAAAGCCAGAATTGCCAAATGACTTTACAAAGGCAATTAACTTGTCTGTATTAAACATTTTCCTTGCAGGTTTTCTACTTCCTCAAGCAAACTTCACGCACTCTAACCCGGAGCTGACTTCTCCATTTTAAAAATTGCAGACAAGTGCGTTCACCCAAGTGAGAGCCTTTGTGGCCCAAAGGATGAGCCAGTTCAACAGACCGGTTCCAGGATCTTGTTAGGAAGCACAAGCTAAGCTCACTGTCTCCAAAAGAAAATGATGCTATCATGTGAATGACCTCATTCCACCTCTCTGAGAGCTCGTATAATTGTTACAATGCTTTAATAGGTACATGCCCCAAATGTCCAGCTCAGGGGGACCATTCAGAACTCTAATCGAATCCCTCTTGCTTAGACAATTCAGTGAAAACAGCAGAGGGTCATTAAAGAACACTGCTCTGTTACAGCTCCAAAATGCCCATAATAAACACTGCATGGCACATCGCACATGAAAAACATGGGCTTAGACACGAAAGACAGAAACAATCAAAAAGCAAGTGAAGAAAGAACAAGGACACCCAGCTTTTACAAAATGAATTTTTTTTTTTTTTTGAGAGGCTTTTTTACTACAGGGCATGTGCACTCGCCAGAAAGACAGAGAGACAAAAAGTGAGAAATCACCCTCCCGGGGTAGGGGGTGGCCATGCCACAATCCCTTCTTCTCCATTCTCCTCTCAGGATCTTGGGCACACACGCACACGCACCCAGCATGAGTTTAAGCCACCTGGTCCAGGACTCAAACTGCGGTCGATTACATGGGAGTCCAGCGACATAGCCATTATGCTAACTGCTGGTCCCCAAAATGAAGTTTTTCAAAGAGAATTATTTGATAATAATTCAGACCACTCATACAACCAGTCAAATTACATCTGCAGTTCTAAGAATTTGGGGGGGAGAGGGGAGGAAGCTGTTTGATTTGATGGCTAAGCTGGACTTTATTTCACCAGGTAATTAGCGTGACTCACTCAGCGTTTCACTCTGCCAGCAGGAGACAGGTGGATGCTCTGGGACGGTGTTTCCATGCTGGGTGGATCTGCAGTCACAGAGGTTAGAGAAAACAGACTTGGGCCTGACCCGCAGCACAGCGGTTAACCACAGGGCACTGGGAGCTGGATCCCACCTGCCCAGCTGCAGCTCAAACCCCAGCCTCGGTGGCTCAGAAACCTTGACAGACACATGTCAAGATTTCAAGAGGGTAGGAGAAAAAGAATTGCAATGTGACCATGCCCCATTGGGAGGTTCTCTCTCTCTCTCTTTCTCTCTCTCCTCCCTTCTCCTCTCCTCCTCCTCCTCCTCTTCCTCTGGTAAGAACACATATCCTTTTGCAATTAAAGAAAACAATTTAAAGAGAAAAGACTCAGTTTCTGCTCTCCTCCAGCCCACTGTGGTCTTTATTCAATCCATCAACTGATGATATTAACTTTTTAAATTATTTTAGTTAACTTTATTTATTTATTTATTTATTTTTATTTTGACCAGAGAGGGACAGAGTGAGAGAGAAAGAGGGAAAGTGAAAAGGTGAGAAAGCAAGCCACCAGGTCCAGGACTCAAATCACGGTCCGCCATATGGGAGTTCAGCACCCCTAACCACCACACCATCTGCCGGCCCCAATGATATTAATGTATACAGTTAATATTTACTGAATGTCTACTGTGTAACCAAACAGTTCTCACAGTTCCTGCTGTCATGGAACTTTCCAGTAGGAGGGGAAGGAAAATAGAAAAGTAAATAATGTTTCAGATGATTAGGGCTCTAAGGAAAGTGGGAGAGACGTGTCAGAGGTGACAGCTTGGTGACAGCTTGAGGCTAGCCGTTTTGAAAAAGGCCAGC